GAGACAGGTGAGTCTCGCTCTTGTTGCCCAGGCTAGGATGTGAGCGCGTGGCTCAGCCTAGCTCACACACCTCAAACTCCTGGCTCGGCAATCCTTCTGCTCAGCCTCCGAGTAGCTGGGACTACAGGCATGCGCCCACGCATCCGGCTAATTTTTTTTTATATATATATCAGTTGGGCCATTAATTTCTTCTATTTATAGTAGAGACGGGTGTCTCGCTCTTGCTCAGCTGGTTTGAACTCCTGACCTTGAGCAATCTTCCGCCGCCTCGGCCTCCCAAGAGCTAGGTATACAGCGGTGAGCCACCGGCGCCGCCTTTTTCTTAATTTTATAGAGACAGGAAGGCTCACTATGGTGGTCTCAACTCCTGCCTCAAGTGATCCTCCCACCATATCCTTCCAAAGTGCTGAGATAATGGGTGTGAGCCATTGCACCCAACCAGAAATATAACTCTGTTATGGAACAAACATGGTTAAAGTAACACTTGTTTACCAGAAGTCCGTTGACCACCTCAAAAATATACATTTCCAAAAATGCTGTGTTCCAATTTCAGCTCTAACAGGAATTAAAAATTATTTTCTAGAAACAAAATACCAAGTACCCTGATACTCTCATATGGGGTCGCGCAACGCTGTAAAGAGCCAGGAAAAAAAAGACTTTTGGGTTTGTGGGCCATAACAGTCACTATGCAATATTCAACCTCACACTGCAGCACACACACAGTCACAGAACAAATGGGCATGGACAGTTCACAATAAATGACAGCATTCTTTATTAACAGATTACTGATAATGAGACCTAAAACTTACAGAGAAACCAGCAGTTTCGAACTCCTGACCTTGAGCAATCTGCCTGCCTTGGCCTCCCAGAGAGCTAGGATTACAGGCGGGAGCCACCGCGCCCGGCCCGATATAATTTTTTATTGAGAGACTGGCTGGATATACAATTAGAATTCAAATGTGTGCTTAGTGATAGTGAAGAAAGGTGCTCAAGATTACTTGCACTTATAAGACATCTGTCTAGAGTTAAGGAAGTGGTTCATGATCATAAAGAGACTAGCATTTTGAAACTAGTATCATAAGCAGTGTATAATGTAATTAAAAACAAAAAACCAAGAGAAACCCATAATACCCCAGAATTTCCACTTCTCAGAAGTCAAATCTCTTAATAAAGCATATTTTAGAAGTTAAACATGAAGTAGATTTAAAGAAATTTTTGTTAAGCCCAGTTCAGTTACATAATAAAAACTTAACAATTACTCAGTTACTCTGCTCAAATTCTGCCCCTAAAGAATGACTCCTAAAACGTAAAACACTGGGAGTTTATGGCAGAAATGTAAATTAGCCTAATAGAACTCAAGCTAGGTAGAGTAAACTCTATAATGTATCTGTATACTACAAGGCAGCCAAGCACAAACCCATGACTTGAAAAATCATATCACCTTTTCTTCTATATGAAACTAAGATTTTTCCAAAGAAGAAACCTAAGGCAGACCACTGTGCATAGTACAGTATTATACTCAACACTCCAAAATAAACTCAAATACTAAAATGAAGGAAAATTATTAGCAGGCAAGCATCTGGAGAAAAAATGGAGAAAAAAGTGAAACAAGGCCTATAACTAGGTAAACTTAATTGCTTTTGCTAATGCTGATGCATTTATTCTTATCAGTTTCATCACTAAGAGTTACTAAAGGAAAAACACCAACCTTTGTGTTGGCTGCAATCCAATTGGAAGTTTCACTGTCATCGTCACACTTTTTAATCCACTTCTTTAACCACTGTTTGAAAACAACAACTTTTAGAATGTAACAAAAGATTTTTTAAAATAGCAAATTACTTTATCACTTAACTACAGTCAAGCTTCAAAGTAAAAGCCAATGAATAAGGCTTGCTTCCTCTTGAACCAGGGAAATACTATAGCTATAATAGTCAGTATATATAAGATCAACCAAAGAAGGGTTTTCTACGGCTGAAACTGAGTGGCGAACCCCTAGACTGAAGAGAAGCCCAGCTACAAGGTGTTGTTTTCCAAACTACAAAGTCTGTGGAGGAGGTGCCTTAACTATGGTTATCCTAATAATAATCAGGAGCTAACTTTACTTATCCTAAGGAATGATCTCTGAATACCTATAGTGATCATCTGAAATGAAAAGGGAAAAATAAAATCTATCTACTACAGACAGATAACAAAATTATTAGCTGTGATTTTTAGTCATCAAGTCTCAGAAGTGCTTCATCATAGTATTTAAAAATAAAAATGCCAAACTCACCTTACATTTAACAGGATCATGCCAATTTTCTCCACAGTTAAAGCTGTTAAGTGACACAAAGAGTTAAAAGAATTAAGTCCTACCTACAGTCAGTAAGTAAATCGGCCAACCATTTCATGCTTTATAGTTTCACAGTATTGTCACCATTTCTAGTGACTGGCAAATACAAGGGCAGGAACCATGTCTTATTTTATAGTTAATTATCTAAAATTTAGTATTAGAATTAGTATGTAGTGGGTACTAAGTACATATGAAATGAAAAATGACTATAAGCATGAAGACATGCTTTGATGACAATTTCATACCGGTTACTAGAGTGGTTTTATGTTTCAGACTGTATTCAGAACTTCCAACCAATCCTTCATCAGTGCATATTTAATCTTTTACTTAACACTGCCAATGAAGAGGAAAAGTCTGACTTTATAGGTTAATAACTTAGTACTAATACTCAGTACTCAACATATGGGAAATAAAAGGTCACATCTTTGCATAACTTAAATAAATAAATCTCAAGCCCTGTAAAGAGAAATGGAACCAAGCAAGGTATAAAACAAGAGACTAAATAATCTCTAAATATATACTGATAATTCATTCCTGTTTTACTAGGCTCATGGCATATGCACTTGTAAAAAAGGTATAAATTAAGAATAAACACAAAGGCTTAAGAAAAAATAACCACAAATGGCTTATTAGTTAGCTAGTCAAGTAACTTAGAATGCCAAAAAAAATCTTTTGCTAAAGAGAAGAAATTACCATTGATCTCAATAAGGTAAGGATAATGGTTATCTATTATCTTCTCGGGATATGGCATGGTACAGGGAACAAAGAAACTTAAAATGTATGTGTTGTATTTTATTTCTTAAAGAAAACAAAATACTAATATTGATTAAGCTGTGTTGCAGCTACATAAGTATCCATTGTTGTTATTCTCTATACTTTATGCTTGAAATGTCTGACCCTAAAATTCATTGAAAACAGGTATGAAGTCAGAATCTACCTTCTCTTTACAGGGTAAACGCTGAAACAATAATACATTTAATCTTTATGAAAACAGGATATATTTTACACATATTTAATCTCTGAGTTTACCTGCTCTTTTTAGAAATATTACTAGTGATGTTTATATCTAATTCTACAGATGTTTGGGGGGGGTATAGAATACCCATAAACTATCCATTTGCTAAGACCAGAGACCCTTGGCTTGAGTGGCTTTTCATTCCTAAAGATCCTCAAAGAAACAGAAGATTATCTTAACTTCCAGCATGATCTGAATGTGTTTATCCCTCAAAATACAAACGTTAAAACCTAATCACCAATGTGATGGTACTGTAGGAGGTGGGGCTTTGGGGAAGTCATTAAGTCATGAAGGCAGAACCCTCACAAATGTTTAATGCTCTTATAAAGGAGGCCCAAGAGAGCTGCCTTGTCCCTTCCACCATGTGAGGACACAGCAAGAAAGCACCATCTATGAACCAGAAAGTGGGCCCTCACCAGACAACAGATCTGCTGGTGCCTTGATCTTGGGACTTCTAGGCCTTCAGAACTGTGAGAAATAAATTTCTGTTGCTTATAAGCCATCCAGTTTATGGTATTTTGTTATAACAGCATGAATGGACTAAGAAACTTAGTACTGAAAAGTGAGTGTGCTGTTGTAACAAAACCTAAAATGTGAATGCTGATTTGGAACTGGGTAATGGATAGAGGCTGGAAGAGTCTGGAGGTACAAGCTAGAAAAAGCCTAGATTACCCTGAACAAACTGTTAAGGGTGACTCTGGTGAGGGTTCAGAAAGAGAGAAGTACAGATAAAGCCTCAATCCTCTCTGAGAAAAACGTGTTCTATTGTGAACAGAACATTGGTAGAAATATGGTGATGAAGTCTAAGATGAAAAACAGGAACATGCTATTGGAAATTGGAGGAAAGGCCATCTTTACTATAAAGGGGCAATGAAGTGGGGGCTGAATTATGTTTGTGTCCTATTGTTTCGTGGAAGGTAGGAATATGTAAGCAATGAAATTGGATATTTGAGGAAATTTCTAAGCAAAGTACTAAAGATGCAGCTTGGCATCTCTTGAGTGTTTATAGAAAAATGCAAAAGAGAAATGACTTAAAGGCAAACTGTTAAAAGAGAATTAGAACTTAAGAATTTAGAAAATTCTCAGCCTATCCACATTGGGAAAAAATGAGAAAGTCTGTTAAAGCAGCCCGAACTAAGACATTCCCCTTAATATGTGGCATTGGAAATTTCCCAGTAAGTCAAATCTTGAACTCAGAGGCTGAAGAGCAGTATGGTATAAAACTCCAAAAGCCCAAGTTATCAAGAAAACTGGGCCCAGAAGAGCCACAGGAAAACTTACTTTTTTTTTTTTTTTTTTTGAGACAGAGTCTCACTTTGTTGCCCAGGCTAGAGTGAGTGCCGTGGCGTCAGCCTGGCTCACAGCAACCTCAAACTCCTGGGCTCAAGTGATCCTCCTGCCTCAGCCTCCCGAGTAGCTGGGACTACAGGCATGCGCCACCATGCCCGGCTAATTTTTTCTATATATGTTAGTTGGCCAATTAATTTCTTTCTATTTATAGTAGAGACGGGGTCTCAATCTTGCTCAGGCTGGTTTCGAACTCCTGACTTTGAGCAATCCGCCCGCCTCGGCCTCCCAGAGTGCTAGGATTATAGGCGTGAGCCACCATGCCCGGCCTGCCTGTTTTTTTACTTCAAAATAAGATATGTGCGGTGTGCATAGGAATTTGTTCATAGTTTTTTTTAAACTGTAGTCCGGCCCTCCAACAGTCTGAGGAACAGTGAACTGGACCCCTGTTTAAAAAGTGTGAGGACCACTGGTTTATCTGATAATAGGGAAGTAAAAGAAAGTGACCTCCCATCCTTGAAAATAGGCACTCTCAAGAAGAAGGCAAGTGTCTTTTTGGTCATTAATAAGCTAATTCTCTAGACAAAGACTTGTTGCCATCACTCAAGTTGAAAATAGTTATTATGCCAGGTCTCCTCGTGGAAGGCAGATCTCTAGGTAAGCAAAAGGACTTCTACTGAATACCAACTATATATGCTGAGCACAGTGTCAGATGTATTAAATCACCCTTCAGTTTGGGGATAACACTCTGTTTAAACAAACAAGATAACTAGAGAGCTGTGATTTGAAACCAGGTGATGTTAAACACAATGTTTTTTTGTTTTTTGGTTAATTAATGCCAACTGCTAAACCATACCTTTCACTTATATGGCACTCTGAATAATTCAACATTATACTTCAATTTAAGACTAATAAAAATATTTAACTTTTTAAAAGGTTTTTTGTTCTGACATACAAATTAGACAAACATAAAGAAGAAAATAAAAACCACCTATAACTATCACTCAGGAGGAATAATCACTCAAAATTATTATGAACATGGATTTTTGTAAATGACAATTTTATAGAACTTATTACATATAATTTTGTACCTTAGTTTTTTTTGGCTAACATTATATAGGCACTTTCCAGTGTCATTAAAATAATTCATGAACTAATTTTAATTATTGTATTATATTCCATCTTCCTTTATGGTTGGGCATTTGTGCTATAGAATTATGATAATGTGATTAACATCTTTATAATAAACTTTTGCTCAAATTTCTGATTATAAAAATTAATGTAATATTTATTGTCTCTCGAATTTAATCCCGATTAAATATCAAAATAATTTTGCAAGTCCTAGCACTCTGGGAGACCAAGGTGGGCGGATTATTTGAGCTCATGAGTTCAAGACTAGCCTGAGCAAGAGTGAGACCCCGTCACTACTAAAAAAATCGAAAGAAATTAACTGGACAATTAAACATATATATATATATATTAGCCAGGCATGGTGCTGCATATGCCTGTAGTCCCAGCTACTCTGGAGGCTGAGGCAGTAGGATCGCTTGAGCCTAGGGGTTTGAGGTTGCTAAGACCTAGGCTGACACCACGGCACTCTAGCTTAGGCAACAGAGTGAGATTCTAAAATAATAATAATAATTTTGCAGTCATCCCTGACTCAACTCTTCTCTTATACCCCATATCTAACCCTGACTCTACCTTCAAAATAAATTAAAAATCCCACTATTTTTCACCATCTGAAAATGGTAAAATCTGTCCTCTGCTACCATCCTGATCCAAACCGCCGTCATCTCTCACCTGGACTGCTGTAACAGTCTCCCAACCAATCTCCATACTCTCAATTATAGCATATTTTTTTAAACTAGCAGTCAAAGCAATCTTCCCTGACTATTTCACTACCCTGTTCAAAACCCTCTCCATGGCTCCATCAAAATAAAAGCCACAGACTGTATATTGGCATATCAGACCCCAGAGAATTTGCTTCATGTACCCTCCCCCTGACTATTCCCTGCCTTCCTTCAATCTGTAAGCTTATATTTATGGTTCAGTAACATTTTTAAAAGCTTAAATTACTAATATTGATCAGTAATATACCCCTCCCTAGTCTATAAACTTAACCTTAAACTTACCAAAACTTCAATTGTTTCACCTTATATTTCAATGAGACTAGAGAATCATTTCAGTATGAACTTCAGTTCTGATCCTTTTAAGCATACTTTCTAAAACAGTATACTATAGCTCCTGTGCTAAATTTCCTACCTAGAATACTAAAGCGAGTGCTTTTCTGTTTCCTTAAGAAGAAACAACAATGGGCATTCAATTTATTCCACTATGAGACATATAAAGTTACATGTTATCAAAGCATTCTTCATAAACTCTATGTGCCTTAAAAATAATAAATACAACTTGGGGTAAGAAAAGATTTCTTAAGTAGCAATAGTTATAAATTGGGGGAAATGATGAATTAGATACCAAAATGAAAACTTCTGTTCATTAAAAAGTAAGAAAAATCACCTTTCTTTTATAAAGAAAATGCAAGCCATACATTGAGAATAAATAGTTGGAAATACATAAATCTAAAAAGATTCATATGGGCATATTTAAAGAATTCTTTACAAAGTAAATGACAGAGAAAATAACCAAATTTTAAGAATGGGCTAGTGACTTGAATGGATACTTTGTTAAAAAGGATATCCAAATGCCTAATAAATATATGGAAAAGATGTTCTACATTTTCCACCAGGAAACTGCAAATGAAAACCACAGTGAGATATACCTACACATCAACCTGAATGGTTAAAATTATAAAATACACATGACATAAGTATGGGCAAAGACTAGAGCTCTCATACATAGCTGAAAGGAATACCAGAACAACCATTATAGTAAACCATTTAGCAGTATCTATTAAAGCTAGAAATTTTACTCCTAAGTAAATACCCCCCAAAAATCAGTACATGTCCACCAAAAGACATACAAGAATACTCTCTGTAGTTTTTTCACAGTAACCAAAACCAAACAAACTAAAAAACTCCAAACATCTATTATCAGAATAAAAGACTATATAGTAATAATAAAAAACAAATCCAAAACACAAATACATTTAACAACATGTATGACTCTCAAAGGCATTATGGTAACTGAAGCAGATATACTTACACAAAGAAATACATGCTGTATGATTTCATTTAAATGATATTCAAGAACAGGCAAAACTAACGGTGACAGAAGTCAGGATAGGTAGCAGAGATGAGATGGATACTGACTGGGAAGGGACATAAGGATGAACATTCTGAGTACTGGGAAAATTCTATACCTTGATCTGGGTAGTAAAACAAATATACTTTTAAGGTTAATGTACTTTATACACTTTACTGAATGTATTTTAGGACTTAATAAAAAAAATAAAAGTCATTACATAGCTAACTGAGACTTTTATAATTAAATAAGAACAATGTTTTTCCACTGTAAAAAATGAGATGCTCCACTGTAATGTGATTAACATACATATTGAAATTTAGTTTGTCTCTAGCCTCAGATGGTACAAACTGTATGACTTCACTTAATTACTAAGCATCTAAAGTCCTTCACAATCCTATTTGTGATTTTCAAGATAGTGATAGAATGTAAAACATAATCATCTGACTTGAATAACTGAAATATTCTTCTTGAAGCAGAACAGACTTAGAAGATGACATTTATTTCTCTCTGGATATATTCAATTACTTGGTTCTACAATTAACCTTTATATTATTATAGTATTATAAATACATTGGTTTATAATTTTCTGAATTAACCTATTGACAAACATGAAAGAATAAGCCACAGGCCGGGCGCGGTGGCTCACGCTTGTAATCCTAGCACTCTGGGAGGCCGAGGCGGGCGGATTCACATTACCACTTTTCTGTTCTGTGGCTTATTCTTTTTTTTTTTTTTTGAGACAGAGTCTCGCTTTCTTGCCTAGGCTAGTGTGAGTGCCTTGGCGTCAGCTAGCTCACAGCAACCTCAAACTCCTGGGCTTAAGCAATCCTACTGCCTCAGCCTCCGAGTTGCTGGGACTACAGGCACGAGCCACCATGCCGGCTATTTTTTTATATATATATATTAGTTGGCCAATTGATTCTTTCTATTTTTATAGTAGAGACGGGGTCCTCGCTCAGGCTGGTTTTGAACTCCTGACCTTCGGAGTCAATC